CTCCGCCCATCAGCGGCATCAACAGGCGGCATCACAGGGGCTGCATTCTTGGCTGCAGATAATGAACACGGGACGGAGTGGACACTTGAGAGCAGGCTCCACACGGCTGAGGTGGGAGGAAACAAACAGCAGAAAGAAGACAGCGACCGTCACAGATGAGTTACAGACGGTCGTGGGAACTGGCAGCGTGCTGAGCTTTTGCTGTGTTTCTGCTTTTATTTAGGAAAAAAAAAACTTTGGTCTTTGTCAGTGTGATATATTGACTTTTTTACTGGAGCTCGTTTTGCCAAATGTTTCATTGAGGGGAAATTTCAATAATTTAATATCTATCTCTGGGTTTATTTATTGTCAGGACATATTTTGAAATCTTTTGACAGTTTTTTTTTTTCAATTTCAGCTCATGCTTTGTCTTTTAACTTTAGCAGAGGTTTTAGTGACATTTTTTTCTTAATTTATTGAAACATTTAAATAATATATAACAGTTATCTAACCTTGACCAACATTAAAACGGTAAGGGTTTCTCAGGGGCGGGAGCTAACATACAGCTGTCCTCTTTTTTCTTTAAAGATTTTTAAAGACAGAATTTTGGTTCAATTTTTTTTTTTAATTTTGGCTAACTTTTTATCCTACACTATATATATATATATATATTGTTCTTTTCTGATTTATTCCGCCCAGTTAAATATTCACTTGCTTGTTTTGTTGCGGAGCATCCAACAATCTTTTGGCTAACACTTGCTTGTTTTGTTGCGGAGCATCCAGTAATCTTTTGGCGTGACTTCACACAGCACATTACTCATGGCTTGTTTTGAATAACTTGAATTGCTAACCTTCGCTAATTTTTGATGAGCTTTCCATTAAATCTGTAAGAGCAACACGGCAACTGTCAATCATATGATGAGGAGGGTTGAGTCAGGGAGGACTTTGTTCCTTTTTTTATGGTCTATCTATTCCTGTGGCAACTCCTGATGAAGGACGATTCTTAGCTTAATTAATAACAAACACATTTTTTGAGACTATTTGTACAAAAAACTAAAATTAAGGTTTGAGCTGGTGCTTGTAAACACATCAAGAAAACACACACACACACACACTTATCAACAGGAAGCAGGTTTATCATTCAACCCTTCCAAGAAAAACAAACAGTATGCTGCACTTTTACCTCTTTATACCGTAGTTAGCAGCAGCCCTTTAACCACCAGGCCATAGGCTGCACCAGTAATCCCTGATGTGAAAAACATTTTCAAACCTCGTCAAGAACAGACAAGTACCATCAGGACTCACTCAGAAACTTAATACGTGCATTGTTTATCATGCTGACTTCAGCCCTTTAAAGCTGAGCGTCGGTGATCTCCATCAGTCGGCTAGAACTGAAGACGCCTCCTGGAGGAGAGGCGGAAAATAAAGTAATGTACACTTAATAAATTCATGTGGCTATAAACATTGAGCGACCAATAGTTTCACCTGTTGATGGTTTAAAGAGGCAACAAATTGAAGACTAGAAACCTACGCCCTAAACTTAGATAACGTTTCACCTGTTGATGGTTTAAAGAGGCACAATCCAGCAACAAATTGCAGACTAGAAACCTAGAGCCCTAAACTTACGGACCTTCATTAGATAACGCGGAGTTGCACACGCATGTACACATGTACACATGTACACATGTACACATGTACACATGTACACATGTACACATGTACACATGTACACATGTAGCCCAGGTGTATTAGTATGATCATTCACAGGAGCAGGAAGCCAAATTGAAGGGTTTCACCGTCCTCTGCATGCTTCTGTAGATGACAGGGCGAATATGTCTCAACACAGTTTATAGCTGCGCTTTTAAGTTAGCAACTAACAATAGCTGTAGGCTGGAGAGAATCAAAGACTGAAGACTGACTGACTGACTCTCCAGAACAAACAGGCTGAAAGCTGCAGCACTGAGTGAGGCCTTCGTCAGGCAGGGTGGATCCAGAGGTGGATGGAGATGTGTGTGTGTGTGTGTGTGGGGGGGGGGGGTAAGGACTTGAAAGCACATACCAGTAGGAGAGCACTTGGAAAATAATGACTCTGTCTATGTGCTGGAGTGGGCTGTTATTCATACGTGTTACTCATTGATCCAGACAACCAGAGGGAGTGGTGTGCAAGCCAGGGAATGGCTCCAGCAACCCAGTGGACATGAGTGAACACGGGTTCACACACACACACACACACACACACACACATATATATACAAACAAACTTTTTCATATTAACTATCAAAGTCCAAGTCGACATGTGCCGGAAGGACAAAAAGTCACTGGGTTTGTTTGTATATGTGTGTGTGTGTGTGTGTGTGTGTGAAAAGCAAAGATATTTGCGTACAAAACATACAAAAACACACAAAGACTGCCCTTCCTCTCTCTAAGTCAGCCCTCCACGTCCCCCATGCTTGTCCAAACACTCCTCCGTCTTTGACAACACACCACACACACACACACACACACACACACTATGACACACGCGCTTTGTTATTAGACAGTACCCGGAGTGTAGCCCTGACAAAGAATGTGACAGCTCCACACACGTCGCACGGCACAGGGAGAACACACTACACACACACACTGGGAAGGAGGCGCAGGAGGAGGCGTAGGAGTGGAGGCAGCATGACCCAACATGCACCTGGCTCTGACAGAAAACCGTCCGACGCTCCATCGCACAAAGACTCAGAGGAGAAGAGCGGGGAAGGCCGGCATTCCGGGGGAGAGGGTTGTGTACACGGGACTGAGCCGGGGCTTAGACGCAGAAAGACCCGGAGACAGAGACGGAGGGCAGAAGGAGGGCGGGGGGTCGGGAGGGCCACAGGAGATGATGGGGGTGATAGTGAGCAGAAGTGGAAAAGATGAGGGCAACAGGACAAAAGACAGCTGATAGGTGTGTGTGTGTGTGTGTCTGGTGTCCCGTCTTCACTGGCGGTCCAGTGTGGACACCTGCAGCTCATCACTGCTCTGTGTGGAGGGTCCAGTGGTAGGACAGTTGGACAAACTTCTGTGACCGTCTGACCCTCAGAGGTAGGGAACTGAGCAACTGGTTTTGATGCGTGTTGTGTCTTCACATATGGCACGGAGCTGCTGCACGGTGACGCTGCTGTGAACACCATTAAGTCCAAGTCAGTGAGTTGAGTTCTGCGTCATCTGACCCGGTCCAAACATTTTCCACAAGAAATAAAACATTGCACTTTGCACGCCGGCTATCACCCTCCAGATAAAGGATCAACAGCAACAGTGGCCGACCAGTGAACTGTAGCCCAGAGCTTTGCTGTTCTGTTGAGCCGTACACTTCCACCCAGATGTGTCTTGAACATTACATATATATATATAGTAAGGATACAGTGGACAACGTGGGTCAATAGTGAAGTCCAGCTGTCAATCACATGCACTGTCCACTTACATGCACTGCAGACTCTCATACTTTATCTTCCGTTTTCCTCCAAATAGGAGCAGAGTTCACAAAATTGACAACATATAAAGACTAGAACCACAAACTCCACAAACGTTCTTCACTGACAATAAAAACTTTAAAAGATTTTTAGATTCATATATATAAATATAGAGAGCGTTGACTTGAAAACTGACTTGAATGGGTTAACGTCAGACACCACATGGACGTCTGGTCGTTTCCCAGGCTTTGATGATATCTACAGATGTCCCTGTTCATTTCTTATATACGGTCTGTGCTTATTACAGAGCCTGGATCCAGCCAGCAGTCCCCGCGCACACTTAACCACTGGGTCTTTTGTAGATGTGAAGGAGAGACATAACTCATGTCGTTCTTCAGGATGTACAAGTGAGGAGGAGTGAAGGAACTGGGCCGTAAACGGGTCAGCGAGGCACTGATTTACGGTACAAGCAAACTGTCTCCTGATGGCGATGTCATCACAGTACGGCCGTCGCTGCACATATATATCTCCTCTTTGCTAATATGCTTCGTTACAGATCAGCTTCAGCCTGGAGATGTTCAGCAGAGACCTGCAGAGATCATCTGTCCTCCCTTCCTTCCTTCCTTTCTTCCTTCCTTCCTTCTCAGCCTCAGGAGTTCAAAGCTGATAGAAAAGCTTTATGACCACACCCACAGACAGATCAGTGTGTCAGGCCCTTTTCATTCTTGCCATCAGTTATGGGGTGAGGGCGGGGTACAAACCTGGATGGACTGGACCACCAGTCCATCACAGAGCCACATATTAAGACTAAAGACTGAATATAAAGAGCTAACACACTGTGGTCATGTATATTATTAGACTGAGGAGGAATTGAAGAGAACATACAAACTAGATACAGAAAGAGGCTTGAACTGATGACCTTTGTACTGTAAGGCAAAAACACTAACCGCTGCTTCATTGCGTAGCTGTGGCTTTTTTTTAATCAAATATAAATTCTAAAGACAGAGAGAGGAAGGAATAATTCTCAACCTTGGGAGAGCAGAAAGTTACTGCTATTAAACATTTACTCAGGTTATTTTTTACTCCTGCTTATCTCTTTATCATTGCTTTTCCAGCACACTGAGTCACACACACACACTCATGCACTGATACACGATGTAAAACTTCACTCTGCTCACCCTCTGACTGTCACTGAAGTATAACTTCGTTTGTCAAACGATCGTTTTTACACAGGAAGTCACTGACCTGTGTACGAAGACTTCTTCATCGTCTCTTCTCTCTGTGCTTCTCAGTCTGAAGATTGTAACAGTTGACTGTTGTGCATCCGTAACGTTTCCAGGTTCGTGTCCTCTGTCTCTGTCTTTCCCTCTGGCTCTCCTTCCTTCTCGACCACTCCTCGACGACCAGCTTTCCAAACACACCTGAGGGCAGGTAAACTGACGTCTGGTCTGACTCGCTGAACTGTATTCCAACTCCTTGCTTTTTCTTTTTTTTTTCTTTCTCCAGCGCCAACCACTTGGAGGGACAGTCTTCTGGGAACGAGGACTCCAATCACACCTGCGCTCCTGACGCACGCCCAGTCCAGCAGCGGGAGTGGTTTACTGCGGGGGTTTTCTCACATTAAAAAGCTCGGAAGTGGGATGAAGAGGGTTTTCTGGGAATAATGTCAGGGCTTGCGGCTGAACTGAGCTCTGTCTAAGAGTAAATAAACGCCTTTGGAAGCGCAGTAATCCCCAAATTCAACAGGTCTGGTCTGTTGCGCAACTTGGAAGGCGTGGAAGTGGATGTTAACTGTCACCGATGATCAGACATGATAATCATCACTGTTAAAATGAATAATAGCAGGGCACACGTGCACTGATCGGTCTATTTATGAGCACACGCTGTCATTTTCTTTGTGTGTTTTCAGGCAGTTGTCTGTATGTAGTACAGTTAGGGTATGCAGTTTCGACAGGATGCACATAAACACAGGAGTAACAGTAGAAAAAGAGCAGCGAGAATCGAACCAAACACCTACTTGCTGTTAGGCGAGAGCACCAGCCACACTTCCACTATACAGTACAGCCTCATGAAGTATGTTTTTTTTCCCTATCTCTCTGCTACAAATAAACCATAGCATCATCTAGATGTTATTTTATAAACAACTAAGTCAACTAAACATTGCTCCACAGAATGGGGACAAAGCAGCAAAAATAGATTAAGAAAAATAAGACAAAAATATGTTTATATTTTAAAACGTATTTTACACGTGGCATAATAAGACCAAAATATTCACTGTATTCCATGTTCCGGTACAGAGAGACTGAAGGTCACAAAACATCTGTAAACTCATCATCATCATCTTCATCTTTTATTTACAAAATGTCTAATCTGATTCCTGTATTACTGGCCTATGCTGCAGCGAGTAGCTGCAGTTCTGAGCTGCAGAGACCTCTTGTGGCAGCAGCCTGTATTTCACTTTGATTCTCCCCCTGTTCTGTTGGTTTCCCGCTCGCAGACAAGAAGCAATGGGGGAGGAAGTACTAAACAACATGGGCAGCGGTTCTTGTTGCGTCATAAAGGGCAACTTGTTGATGTTTGAGAAATGTTGATGAAGCAGAAACAGATCTGCCTTGACAGCTGCCGGCAGGTAAACAAGGTGTATGAGGCAGAAAAAAACAAGGCTAAATCAGACATCAGTAATAGGACACACACACCCACACACCCCCCCGCACACAGTCTTCAGATGTAGCAAAAAAGCTGCGTGCTAGTGCACCGCCAATGCAACCGAACGTACAGTAGCTAATTAGCACTGCGTTAGCAATGCGCTGCCAACTAGAGATAGAATAGATACGGACTAGGCCAAACCAAGCCCGCTAACGAGGTCAGCCTCGTTTCCTTTAGGGTTCTACTGATAGATATGGCCTCTTGGTAAGTTGTATTACCGCCACCTAATGGGTCTATTGTACACTGGTAAATATTTGATCTCAAGGGCATTGCATTCAACTGCAAACGGAATAGAAAATGAAATTTAAAAAAATACACAAAGAAACTAAGAACCACACAGACTACAGCTGGTACACACTGGTATTACAGCAGTTGTGGCCGCACCTGTAAAACCTTCAACTGTGATGATTGAGTGGAAAGAGTTGAGTCTCTACTTAAGTTTGCAGGGCTTACATTGGCAGCGACATGAAAGCAGTGAAATATGCAGGATGTATGTGGGGGTGTTAAAGTGTTGGTTTGAACGCTGTTTTAGTGAAAGTGCTCTTCGTAAAATGAGTAGTAGTTCAACATAAATTATCTGTCACTGACAGATGATTTCAAAAAATCTAGAACAAACTGCTAACTAAGAGATTAAGGCTTTCTTTTTAATAATTAATATGAATTATTAATTTGTATTAATAAGGATTTTGCCAGGAGCAACCAAACACCATAACCTCTATATAGTTATAAAACAGCTGAGACAAATGTTTAACCTACAAGAACGTTTATTTCTTTTACATTTTTATTATATATATTGTTGTTTATAAATGTATTCATAATAGATGGTGTAATAATAAATAAACGGTGCAGTGTTCAGGATGCTGCCCTCTGTCTGTAACTTACTTTACACCTACTCGCTCTGCCAGAAGTCTGCTGACAAAGTCCAAATTCCCCTGTTTACACAAAACTGCTTATGACGTATTCTGAAAAACCTTCAGGGAGAAAATGAGTAATTGACCGCTTTTCATGCTAATCATCTGATCATGTTAACACTGATCAACAGCACATTGCAGACATGGAATAATGATCTGTATGCACCGACCAGCTGGAGCCCTAACACCAATCGACCTGTTGCACATATTGCATCAAAGTAAAATATTTCCCCGGCCTTTGATAATCACACAACGTAAAGCTCAGTCAAGTGGAAACAGATTGTTATCGCGACCTCTGACATACAGTATTTATGTACTTCAGATCGGCTGCTTCCTGTTGCAAGCCTAAATATTTCTTGTTCAGCACATTGTGGTATTCTGGGCAGACAAAAAAAAAGAAGCAGTGGTGTTACTGCTCCGGGGTTTGTTTTTCTCGTCTGAGGGGTCTCAGTTTCCTCTCAGTGAGCTCACTTAGGCCTGTAGTTTCCGCAGCAGCGCTATACATCAAGCTTTATAGTCAGACCAATGCGACCCCACTGTAGACGCATTTGTACATTTCAATTGACAGCTGTCGCTTTCTGGAGGAAAAAAATGTTCGCAGCTTCTGACCACAGCTGCATCTCCACCAGTAAACACCTCTGCAGGCTCTGCATTTACCTTTTTGTAGTCCAACAATTTTAAATGCTCACAGTTTTTGCAA